GCACTACCCGCCGCACCAATTGCTCTATCAACTCGCACTGCGAAGTTCGCAGTTCGGAAAGTCCAGCGACCTCAGCCCTGACGCGAACACGCATGAATCCCGAGTCGCTCGGAAATTCCACTCTCTCGTGTTTCAACTCGGCAAACGAGTGCCACGGACCATTCCTTATATGCCAACGCCCTTCCGCATGCTTCGTGCCGATACTGAATCCCTCGATGATGTCCATCCCGAATAGCATACCATACTGCATCGGCAGGTCCACGACTCGCGTTACTGCTTCACGCACTACCCCGTCAATTTCAACTCTAAGGCGAAGTCTCCCTACGATTTTCGCTTTTCCTCCAGCGAAACCGAACAATGCCACATCACACGGCTCAATGTGGTCCGCAAACTCTCGGCGTACGCGTGATCCTACAATTGTCAGCATCGCTCTCGAATCATAAAGCGCATTATATGGTTTCCCTGCGATGTGCACTACCAAAAGTGCGCGGTTCTCCACTGCGTCCGCCTTCGGTTCGCCTATACATAGGCGTACGCATAAACGTGAGACTTCCTCGCCAACTCCAATATGCGCGTTTCCCACTGATTCCTCACGCATCGGCTCGCGCCCTGGTCCACTTATCGCTCCTAGCAAAGACGCTCTCACCGCAACCTTACCGCTCAGCACCATGAAATCGCTCAACGAGGTAGCGGATTGCGACGACGTCTCGTCTACACCGCCAGAGTCGTCTACCTCTTGTCTCATGTCGTGCTGCCCCGGTCTCGCGGCTTGAGCCTGTTCTGGGGCCTGTAGTACGCACTTCGCACCTTCCCCCGAACTGCTCAAAGACCGCGTGGTTTCCACGGTTTCACCCGAGTCTCGAATACCGCTGTCTGGTACTGGCGCTCCCGTCGAATCCTTCCCGATCAACCCGCGCCTAGCCGCCGGACACCCTTGGATATTCCCTCGGGTTGCTTTTAGATAATTCCTGGATGCTGTCAGTCTTCTGTGACAATAGATGGAGATTTGCTGGTAATCCCAATGTACATACCACATTACAAGAATCCTTTGCCTCTTGTTGCACTGCCAAAGTTCTCCGGAAACAAATAATAAGAGGCTTAGAAAGGTATATTTGTGGCATTGGTACACGATTTGCCGTCCGATTCCACCACTCTAAAAACTAAACTACTTAGCTAACTAGCCACAAGGAGAAGCTATCCAGTTTACCATTTATAGGGAAAAAGTACAATGGAACTCGGAAAACTTTGCTCGATAAGTATGACAATACAGAATATTTATTATCCGTATATTTTAATACTCTCATCTTATGCTCTAGAATCAAGAAGCATATATTACAAGGCCTCAACCGAGATTTAGATACAATGCGTATCTCCAAGAGATCGACTATTTCATTAGAAATTCTTTCCGAGAAAATCGATGAATTATACCTCATACACCATATTTGTAGAACATAGAAGTTATATGTGAATTATTTGAGAGAAGGTTACCTTTCTTCAAAATTTGTAAATATACGTATACGTCGGTGTAAGCATCACACCTACCTGCATAGGGAAGCAACCAGTAACCATAGTTCATCTTCAAAGGAAGATTTGAAATCTACCATTGATAATGATGAGGAAGTTCTTTTGATATATGCGACACACCAAGTCTCGAACGAAGAAGCATAGCTTTAATTATGCTTGACAACTCGCATAACAATATATTTAAGGTGCATGTACTGATCGATCCGAGATCAGAGCAATCATTGGCATTGGAATGTGTTCTACTTCCATCACCTCAAAGTTTTACAAAGTCAAAGTTTTCGTTGCCAATATAGGCTCGGCTGTAACTTTCGTCGCACATGAAACGATTACGCTTTTGTTGCATTGAGATAGTGCAAGTTTAGTTTTCTACAACTTCTAACGCTTATGTACTTGTTCGACTCATGACAACTTTTCTTCATGAAAAGTTTTCATATTCGGAATGAAGCTACATCACAGGGATTATGCACGTAGATCCAACTTTCTACAGACCAGATAATATAGACTGTATTCTCAGAGATGACATCTACGCGAGTATCGTGATGCTCAGAGGGGTCCAAGGTATCGCTAAGAGTTCCTCTTGCTTAGAAGACAGCTTTCGACTGAATATTAACTGGCTGAGCTCAAGGTTCATGCTCCAGCTTTTACGCAACCATGATATATCTTGATACTACGTTTCATTTTCTACTTATTTATCAAGTTTTGAAAAATCAAGGACGTCTCACAAAATGCAAACGGTCGACTTATCGTACACTTAGCTTTTAAACGGCCATATATTCAATTCGAAGGATATGGCTATTTCACGTTGTCTGCGAACGGAAAAGCGACTGGTGAACAATCCCAGACTTGCTGAACTCTCAATAATTATTTTGAGAATTACATGAACTAGCAACACATGAAGGTAGTATGAGAGTCGCAGCTTGACAGAGAAAGCTACTATGTGCTATATCACACTATACGTTGCAATGATAAATGGGAAAAAATCCGAATAGTCTTGTACGCTTTACACGGTAATTTCAATAGTCTTTCTCAATAATGTCTTGTTTAACGTCCACCTAGACAACCTTGACTGACAAACAGTGATTTGGCAAAATGAGAAAATCGGAAGATTTCAAGTACGATGTCTTATCAACGCCCTTCCTTGCCCTTCGTGTACTGAAACAATTGGCTCAAAATAAAATAAGTAATTATTCAGAGATTCAATGGATTGAAATAAAAAATTATAATTAGGTTGTCAAATGTACATTGATGATGTCTTCGAAGGCTTAAATGATATGAAATGAGCTTTTCTAGAAAATGATTGATCTATTCTTAAATTTATTTAAAGCAGCAGATATGTTATTAGGTAAAAATGGACCTCTAATAATAATTGTCTCCTTGAAGAACACGGATCCTGTGCCAAACTGGTGGAGGTCATATTAGGAGCTGAAGACGACGTTTATATGGTAGGTATTACATGATTGCTTCATCAAGATACATTGACTCTACAATTCAACACGCTCGAGAAATCATATGGTATAACTAAACGCTCCATTCTCTAAACAATGGCTAAGCTCTGGACCACACTCGTAGTTATAGTTGCAAAAATAATAATGCAAGACTTCTGGCTGAGTAAATGTGACTGGAATCAACCAAAATGAATAGATTTACACCAATACTTATTGATCTCGACCAAATTAAAGTAACACATTGTATTGGTTTCGCCTAAAACGAGAAGTGTGTATTCTTAAAAATTACTATATCCCTATCGCCTTGATATACATATGTGTTTGTGGTAATATCTTGGCAGATGTATTAGATTAGTACCCTATTTCATCAGTAGCGGTCATAACAGTCGCTTGTAATATCGCTACAAGATACGTAACGTCGAATAAGTAGCTTGATATACATATAAGTATATAGTTTTTTATTGGTAGCAGCTTTCATAGTATAAGGCCACAATGCCATGGATAGTAGCTTGATCACTTATTGGCATATCACATGTTTTATTTTGAAACCACAATCACTACCTTTAATTAGAACTGTACACATTTTTTTTCGACTTACAAAAGTCGACATAGATACGAACAAAGTAGAAACAAACGTAATCAGAATTCACCGTTTAGATACTTGATATTTATGTCATTAAACTAAATTTATTACTCTGCTTCAGAACACCTAGATCCTTATCCAGAACTTGAATTGAAGGTCTTTCACCTTATCCAGAGCTTAAGTTGGAGGTTTTAGGCTGTGTAGATTTTATGAATTGATCGACCAAATCGTCTACAATGAAAGGTTTTCCTCTACAAGATTTCATGTATTTCTCAAACGAAGATTTTTCGGCTCGCAGATATTCTAAAAGCATTCATAAATAGGTCTAACTAAAGATAACATCTCCAACTTTTTATTGCAGTGACAAAAGAAGGCTTTTCCAGGATTTTTATACCATAAACTACGAATGGTATTTCTTGTTAAATTTTTTTCATATTTTGACCTATATTAAATGGATAGAAAGTTAATTATATATAAACCATGTTTTTAAAAATAGTACGGATTATATTTTTAAGTTATATCTATTGTTCATATACCTTAGCGCACGATAACATAGATACCTCTACAGATAAACCGATTTTAACAAATTTTCAAAATTTAAAGAATTCATATGTTTAGCAATACATCGATTACATTTCTATTACATTTTTGGCATTTGTTTTTTTAAATTCTATAAATACTTTGAGGATTATCCAATTTGGAATTAAGAAACACCCTATATAGCAAAATATTCAGCATTTCGTAATTTTAATTATTTCTATCTATTTTGTTACAATATATGAGATATATTATGAAGTATCTATTTTATAAAATGTATTATATATTCTACACTATAATTAATTTAGATCATCTTAATAACTATAGAAATATAAGAATATTTTGGAGATAAACAGTAATAATTTCCGGTGGGCTTTCTTTCAATGGCTTTATTTAAAAGAAGTAAACGTATCAAAATTAACATCATGTTACATTGGTGATAGATTTTACTATTTATTAAAGGGTAGATGCAGTACTCGGAGAGTGATAAAAGATTACTTTAGGTTTCGTTATATGACCAAGACACTCTAACAAGAAAAATAACATCAAAATCCTATTGAAAAAATTCAAAAATATTAGAGTAGTTCATCTCAAACAACTACCGTAGAAGTAAAAATATGACTTTTTTTTAAAGCAGTAAAATGGATCCTTCTCTGGAACAATTCTACATAGATGGTAGTAGTGCGTTTGAATCGGATAATTACACACCGCGATAAAATTTCTAAAAAAGTCAGTAAACCTACTAACGAAAAATAACCCCTGTTTTTTGGTTTTTGTCTTTATGATCGAATAAGTACGATTACAGACCAAACAATAGAAAACTAGAACGAAACTCATATTAGATTTAATTAATTAAATGAATATATTCCAAAATTAAATATGTGTGTATCTAATCAAATAAATAATTTCAGAATGATTACAGAAAGTTTTTTCACAAAAGCTGATCTTGAGAGATGGCTAATTCCAGATGTTAAAAAGGAACATTATTTTGATTTAATGCAAATACTCTGGGATTCATTAGTAGAAAAAAATTTGAGTTTTGTATTAAAGTCATCAGATAACATAATTTTATCAGTTTCTTTAAACTTCGATGCAAGAGATGAACCAGAAATTGTTATTGAATCTAAATTAAGTATTGTATTCGACTTCTTGGAGTATCTAGAAAAACCAATCAGGGAAACACGATTACCTCGAGGAAAAAATACAATTTTTCATACGTTTATGATGGCAACGAAGAACGATTTGGATGCTTCTGAAAATATTATATTGATGAGAATGATGGAGCAAAAATGTTTAGAAATAGCTAAATCGAAAAATTTTCTTGGAATATTAACAACAAATACGAGTCCTTTAACGCAGGTAAGTTTGAGAAAGTTTAAAGAGTTTTTTTAATAATATTTCATAAACATTTCTAAGAAACACATTGTATTAAACTAGTAAACACCACTTTTTTCCAAAATAACAAATTTTTAAAACACCGATAACTCCATATCTCTCTCTCCCTTTTTCCTCTTTTCCTTCTTTTTGTTCTATATTTCATAATTCGTGAGGCCAGTACTGGCCGGCACACTTATGAGTACCAACTCGACGGTAAGTAAAAGACAAAGAGAGAACGAATATTAAATTTGCTCTATGCAAATGTCCATTTACGCCTATCAAAAGATAAATTAAAGAGGAACAAACAATTTCGTTGACCGAGGTCTCCGCTATGACGTTAAGGAAAGCGACTATCAAAGAAGCTCGATAACGATACTCAAGCCGATTACGCTTATTGTCGACAGAACTATCCGTATCTTTCATGTAGCGCAGCTATACAACGCATGTGAAAAGACGATATGTAAGCATTGAAATCATAAAAACTTACAATTAAGGTGGCTGACATCATCGTGTGAATGGTATCGACACGCGCAGCGGCGAAAGTGAATTATATGTACGTGCGAGCTTAGTTTAACGAATGTCAGTGATTCTCTCTTTCTCCCTCACTCTCTCTTAGTCTCTCTCTCTAATGATCTGCGGTTACGATTTGTGTTTACTCCGACAAACTGAGAGTTGCACTTTGTTTCATTAAAGTTAACCTATCCACGCTCAAGAAAATAATGCTATAAGTTCGACAACCCGAGCCTATGGCAGGTGATAAGCGAGAAGAACAACCGACAAGACTAAAAAATACAATAAGTGCACGCACACTACTATGTAATGACACTGTCACAAAAAGAATAAAAACACCGATAAGAAGCGACTGCGAAGCCGACATGCGTTGACACGCGAAAAACTGGCAAGTTTCCTGCCCTGTAACCACTTGAACATGTAAAAAAGCTGAAAAACTCGAGGAAAAGCCGCGAGACTACATGCATACAATCTCCACCGGCAGTGCAGATTTCGCAGCTCTTAGGAGCGAAGCTGCAGTCTTCGTAGACGAGCAACCGGCAATCCACTGTTATTGACTGTTCGTAGACACCAACGGCATCCTGAGCGCAGTGCATATACGCGCACATAATATGGGTAAATCATGTCTTTCCCTAACAACAACATACACTGACATATGACGATGATCCAGCGCCTTAGAAGGCAAAAGCGAGACCGGCATCAAAAGCGACGCAAAACTATGCGAGCGATGGCGGCCATTTTGACGAGCCGCAACAATTTGTAGCAGACAACTTAGAGAAAGAAAAATTATATTGATAACAAGTTTGGCAGAGCAATCTCTTAAATTTGGTAATTAAAAACAAACACACCACATCAATTATCGATAACGTTTCGTCAGCATGGTCACTAAACATGGTAACTAAACTCACAAAAAACAATAATAACATGGTTAAAAATAAGAATAATATTGATTTATCAAGGATAGATTTTTCTATTTCATTACCGTTCCACAAAAAGTTTTTCTTTACTTGTAAATCTAAACTAAAGAAATTTAATATTTCTTGTATTCCATTGATGAATAGCAAATTAAATAGTACAATTACACTGGGAAAAGATAGGTTGGACAAGTGGGTATAAACTAATGTTATTTATAAGTTCTCTTGTGGTAATTGTGATTGTTCATATGTGGCGCAAACAAAAAGACAACTAAAAACTAGAATTTATGAACACAAAAGTACACCTTCTGATAAATTACTACCGATCTCGCTACACATTAAACAAAGTCCTTCACACAGTTTTGATTTTGATAATGTTATGATTTTACATAGAGAGAGTAACAAACAGAAAAGATTGATTGCTGAAATGATTTACATTAATATTAACAATAACACTATTAATAGACAAGAAGATACCAAATTTTTAAGTAAACAATATCAAAGATTATATGAATATATCAAAAATTAGGTATGCATTGTATAGAGACTCGTTAGTTGATGGCATTGATGTTTGACTAGCATATTCCTTGTTTACTATAGTGTTGCTCGTATGTACAGATAGACTACGCTTATTTTTTCTTGCGTTGTAAACACAGTCTAAGTTCATTTCAGTACAGTTTTATCTATTGATATGATCACTGATTTAACCAAAATGTTTTGACTACTATTTTTTTATATCATATTTTGACTTTAACAAATTTTTGTTACCCAGATTATGTGACTGATTGAAGATGTACTGAAGAGAAATGAAAATATTTATTTGGTAGGGAAATAAGCTTTTAATTGTTTGTGTATTGACCGTATTTATTTGTATTTTATTATTATATAATGTTTTTCAATAAAGATTTGAGGAGGTCAGTGACCATGCTGACGAAACGTTATCGATAATTGATGTGGTGTGTTTGTTTTTAATTACCAAATTTAAGGGATTGCTCTGCCAAACTTGTTATCGATATAATTTATATATAAAAATGGAGAGTACAAAAAATTCTTTAGAGAAAGAAAGAGTGAGTTAGACAGAGAAAGAATAACTAAAGGCGAGCACATACAGTACCAATAAGTAACGGAACACCCTAAAAGTGGCCTCTTAAACTAACATAAGTTAATCTTGATCATCTACGTTGACCCAAAATCTCAGTTAAATATTAAACGTAAAATTTCCGGCTCTCTCGATTGCCGTTATCAAAACTAGAGGCTTGGATCCTCATGACGCATGACCCTAAGACTTTATGAGTTAATGACCCAATAACCTGAGTAAATTTTAAACGTAAAATTTCTCACTCTCTCGATTGTCTTTCTCAAAACTAGAGGTTTAGATCCCCATGGTCCAATAACCCTATGAGTCATAACCTAAATACATTTTAAAATATAAAATTTCCCGCTCTTTTGATTGCCGCTGTCCAAAACAGGGATTCTGTTTAAAAAAACAATGTTGATTTTGAAATATCAATGAAGGACACGCTCAAGGTTAAATTCAAGCTCACCAATTGATTTTTCGTGAAAGATTATCCATAGAATGATCTTGACCTTGACAAAATAATAGTTTACTAGGCAAATTTTAGGGGTGTTTCGTTACTTTCTGAACACCCTGTATGTGCTCATATTTAGTTATTCTCTATTTCTTTCTTTAGAAATGACGTGTTTTCATTGAGTTTTCAAGTGTACAATTCATTTTACAATACAGAAATTAAAGAGAATTGTAGTATTGTATAGAGCACTGTATTATAAATGGTGCAACGATCTCCGAGAATCGTTTTGACTCGCGTGGGTTACGAAGCGGCTGAGCGTAGCAGCCGCGATCGGTTTGAGAGAGAGAGGGCGTGTAGGGGCAATGACAGGGAGGGGAGGGTTTGCTAGCCAGTATAACTGTGACATTCAGTCAGGCTACATCATAGCTATTGTGTTCGAGCTGCCAACGTACAGGATAATTTCGAGTGAGATCCAGAGAATTTTGGTGCGGTATTTGAGAGTGCCGAGGTGGAAGCGTGCATCGCGCGTCGGGTGTGTAGACTGTGGACGACAACAATTGATGGAGCGAGCTACGTGTCCGTGCCGTGCAAGTTGTGTGACACCGCTGCCGAGGACTGTCACAGAGTGCGGAGCGCAGAGTGCGAGCATCTCCTCACGAAGGCGACCTCAGCTCCAGCGTGATTAGCCTCTGCGAATCCTGCAGACACGCGACGACGACAGCAGAGCAACAGACGCGGAGGCAGCTCGTCAACAACAAATTAGACGGATACGGTTGACCACCGTATCCACATCAATCCCGCGGTAGGTATTTACCTCTAATTATTGTTAGCGTGCGATCCCGTACAGCGAGTGCGGCGATATTGTCAAAAGCGTGCGAGCGGTTAGTTCGCGGCAATCGCGATTTTCTCTCTCTCTCTCTCCCCGCGCGTATTGTCATCCGAATTTGCGTGCGCGAGTCTCTCGGCAAATCCCTCCCGTGCAAAAAATTCAAGTTAATAAAGTAATCAGAGATTTAAACGTAACGATCGTGTTGTTTTGTCTTTCCTTTGTCCGAGATCCGTGTTGATGTTTACGTTCAATTTGAACGCGCCGGTAAAATAGCACGGATCGCGTAGGTATCGTGAGAAGCGACTTGCCAACCGAGTTATCAGCAGCGGCCGACGGAGCGCTGCTAAGCAAGCACATCAGCGCCTCCAAGCGGAGAGTTCGAGAACCCAACTCCAATTGGTAAGGGAACTCTGCGCAGGCGCACTCCCGGACAAGGTGAGCTAATGTGCTTCTAGCACATAGATAACAAGGCGTCGTTTAACCAATCGAGTAGGTACGTTCAAGAGGAATTACAGGTTAAACGGCGGCCTGTTACATGGCGCCCAACAAGTTTTAGGACTCACACAGGGGGAGTCGATTTGCACGAAAAGAAAGAGTGACGCACGAGAGAGAGAGACGTTTGCGCGCGTGCGTATTAAGGTGCGAGCGGGTAAAAGAACACGTGGCTCGTTCGGCACGGGCTCTGCTGTGGGGAAAAGACGTCTCTCCGACCTAATAACACCTGCTTTTGTAAGCCGAGAGCACACTAACCCCAGGGGTCGAAGAGACGTCCGGAATCGCTCCAACGGAAATAAAGCAGGTGACAAATTGTTTTTTTTCTTTTCGAGTGGTTACCCACACCTTAGAGCATTTAGGTGGGGGTTGGTCACGGAGCGACAGTATCAGCAGAGCACGCAATTTGGGTGTGTGCGGGGTTATTTTTACTAACCCGGTGGGGCTAGCAAACAGTTAGTCCCCACCTATAGACAGGTAGTTGCGAGCGGAAGTTTTTACTTCCTTTGGATACGCGGCACCTGCACACACCCACGAACCTCGTGGGTTGTTGCCTTGAAATTTAAGGCGTAGTAGCACAGTTGCCGATAAAAATCGCAATACCCCGCTCGCGCCTTGGGTGATAGGAGGCGATAGTGGTCGAGTAGGCAAATTAACCTCAACCGTCACCTACGCCCCAGTATAGGCGGTATGGAGGATACCGCCGAT